ATTGGTAAAATTTAAATATTTTTTATAAACCAATATTAGGGTGACAACATTACTTCATGGATCCGAATTGAATTTGTTTATATCATATTTTTACATATCAGAACGTTTTTGCATAACGTATTTACAGTCAAACAATCAATAAAGCACTCTGTATAATCTAGGAAAATTTTAATTAGCAACAACAGTCACCGATTTAACGCAGGCGGTGTTTTGCCAAAAAACTTTTCGGTCCGACATCAAACCGACACATTGAGTAGATGGTTTTACAATTCATAAGAAAATGTTGGGGCAGCGATAAATAATAAAATGTATGAGGTTAATTTTGGCACGTGCGTATGCGCCGGCTGACCGGCGACGCGCGTTGGCAGTCCGCGACCGCATCTGTGTCTACCGCTCGCGAAGGAGCACCACGCCTTAGCTATCTCAATCTATCGCTAATAAAGTAAGACGATAATTATACATTTACTAATCAGTTCGACAACTCGTAGAGCGTTCATTTTTGTGAGACAGTGTTTAAGGTAACAAAACGCAAGGAGTACACAGTGTTGCATTTCATACTGTTCCACGGGTGTTACATAATGTGAAATTGCTTCGGTAAAGTTAGTTTCAACTGAATCTGTTTACCAGAATTTGTTAAGTAGACTATTTTTAAAAGTACTCTGAAATAGCAGGAAATGTAATGAAAGCTATTGGTTAGATCTGGTTTAATAAAGAAATTAAAACTTTTTATGGGTATTTATATATTTGATAAAGTTACCGAGTGTTTAAGGTTTGCTTATCTTAAAGGAAGACAGAAGAAATAGTATTCCTTAATGCTCTGTATTAATAACCAAGGATTAATACTCTCTTCTTAATAAAGACTAATAACTTATTGTTAAAAGAAGATAGATTATTGTTAACAGATTAACAGAAAACAGAAATCGCTAATATTGTATGGTATAAAGAATCAAGAGCGCCCATAAGTTAAATAAAAAAAATATCATTTTTTTAACATGATAACAAAGCTTTATTAAGTTGCTAGAGTTTAGAAGTTTGTGTAGTAGATGTATCGAGATAAATCAATTTCACGTATTAAGTTTAAATATAAACTTGTCACAATTACTATTTCGGGCCCATCCCAAATGCCGAATATTCTGCAGGCTTTTTGGCCGAATATAAATTATTCGGCCGACGCATATAAGGAAAACTAATACCGAAGTGACTGTTTCTTGCTCACTTTTTAAAATCCATCCCTTTCATGCCCCACCGCCATGCGCGCACAATTACTACGGTGCTGGTTTTGCAAACATTAGTTTGAACACATCGTAAACATGTAAGTACCAATTATCATACTCTCTGCCATTTCATTTGGGTCTAACTAAAAATAATCGATTGTGGTTGTCAAAAAAGAAATCGCTTATGGGTATACTTCAAGGACGAGAAAAATTATCCAAAAAGATCGCGTAAAGAAAGCAAAAAACCGCAAACTAATCATGCATAAAATATTTGTCTTCCTACGTCATAATCTTCGACTTCTAAATTTAAATTACGTTTATTCAAGTAAATTAAATTCAAATGTTGTGTGTTTTTTTTTTCATATGTTTAATTTTTAATTATATTTAATACGGCAATTAATAACAAATAAAAATTATATATAAAGCATTCGGTACTTCGGTATTCGGCTTACTTGAGTATTCAGAATTCGATTTAATATTAACTGGATATTCGGTATTCGGTAAAATAGAAAAAAAAATTGCCGAATATGCCAAAACTGCTGAATATTGGTAGTTATTGTTATTAAAACCCTTCAAAAACTTCCAAAAAACTCTGTTTGTATATATTCTATAAATGTACTAAAACATTGAAGTATTTTGATAAACACAAAACATTTAAAGTGATATATGTCACTCTTCTATTTGAGTAAATTTCTTCTTTTAACACATTATTTACTTTTATTGATTAATCTACATATACATGTGTTTCACATAAACATATTCCAATACATTTTTAATTGCTACGCAATATTCCAACAAAAAAAATAAGCAGGATGATGAGGATTCCAACAACAATATCACAGGGAACAATATTTTGAAACATAACGGGCTAATAATAAGAATAAGCAAAAAATTGAATTTCTTTTCAGAATGTTTGCCGAAGACATACAAATTGCTACAGAAATACTTTATCGGGTTTCACTTACCAAAAAATTTGGAGAAAAGTCCGCCGAAACAAGCAAAAAGGAAAACAAGTTTGTCCCTTACAATCAATATCAGAATTTTTAAGTTTATAAGCCTTCCCATTGAACCGTTTAATTCGTGAAATGAAAGGGTTCTAAACGTATAAATTGATATAATACTGTTAATACAATAATAAGTAAATGGGCTGTTACTGGGCAAGTGCGTTTACCACAGAAAATTACATCTTTACTTGCCATCGGCGAGAGAATAGTCACCGGCAACTTGCCGGTTTTCTTTTTATAAAATTGAAAGAAATAATTTACTTAATTTAAAAAAGTAACAAAGAAGACATTTTTATGATGGATGTGGCAAATGACCAAGTTGCTTACCTGATTGATAATGAACACTGCCTGTAAAAATTCGTAATACTCGAAGAGTTACAAAAGCATTATCGTCTTCTAATCTAGAATTAAGATCGCACTTGAAAGTTTTAAGTCGATAACGTTTTTAAATTTCATTTCTTTGTGTGTTGACTTATCCGTTGAAATGTTCAAGGTAAATAAGATCATAAGTAAGAGACGGCTCTGGATTCGATCTGTGAGCAAAAATATTAAAAAAAAAATATCGATAGAATCGATTTAGCTTGTTGATTACTCAGACCACAATGTCTTGCTCTGAATAACTTTAAAACAGTAAACAGGACCGTACTTTATAAATTTATATTGCAGAACCCGATTTAAATAGATGTTAGATAGAACGCAAATAATCACAAGGCCTGCTTTTTGATTATTTTAGTTTATCACTTGGCTTCCGGAATTGTTGTTATTGAAACGTACATACGTTTGCTTTTATGCTCCAGCCATAGATTACCATCGATTTCAGACACAGTAAAGTGAATCTCGTGACGTCAAATGTATTTATGGTAAAGCGACCATATGAATATATGTAGCGCGATCTTGCGTGAATGTACGTCTGGGCGTCCCGTCGTCTACATTCATGACAGTTCAGTTTCGAACCATAAATGGCTATATAAACTTCTTTTTTTCATGGAAAAATTATACAAATCAACGGAGTAATGTGTTTGTATAGAAATTTACGTAAACTGTTATCATTAACATTCCTTGATCAAAGATTGAATGTATACACCACCACATACTAGCATACTACACAGTTTAGAAACAAAAAAAGGAAAGTCACCTTGCGATAAATACGCCGGCAGCTTTACGTTTATACTTCGGGCAAGTTGCCACCGTAGTCGTAAAGTTGCCACAAATACATAAATATAAAGAACACTTAGTGAAAGCGCTCATTAGCAGGTTCACGCCTGCGTGGGGAGCAATTGCAAGCTCTACGGGAGATCTAGCATGGCCCCCTTCATCTCGATTAAGTTATTTCGGCGATCCAAAAAAAAAACAATCAAAACAAAGTAGTGTATTATTTCAAGTAATTTTAAACTTTACATCTTACCTAATGCAAATTAAAAATAAGTTTATCATAATTTTTTTTACAACTCCTCGATGTTGCTTTTAACATTTTCATTAAAGTTTCATATCACATATTGAAAACAGCAAAAATTTCAAAGTAAATTACGAGAAAGCAATCAACCCAAAACGAGTAAAAAATAAGAGAACATTAAAAGGACTCATTAATTAAGTAGCAGTATTTGGCTTAGAAATTTAAAAAGATCACGCCAAAAAACTTCCAGATATGCGAGTCGTGAAACCGCTAAAAATAATTTTCGATCGCTTAGTAAATCAACGACGCCCACGCGGTATCTATCAAAATTCGTATAAATCTGGCGTGGCGGCATTTTGGGTCACTGCGTTGATCGCGTTCTGTTTAAAAATAAACCCGCGTCCGCCCGCCCTGGATAGCGGCCGAGTCTCCGAGAGCGACATTTACATCAGCTGCACTTTCTATTTACGATGCCCGCCTCTCCAGTACGCCCAGCCACTAACGACCCAAAATATTTTCCGATAAAACAGCAAGTACGCCCAATTAAGCAGCAACACTGACCTATTAATGCTAAGACATAAGTTGTAAATATTTAATTTCAACACATTAATATTTTGGTAAATGATTTCTTATCATTCATTACAAATAGGTACATGTTTTTGTTATTGAACGTATAAGTTTTGTCTGAATAAACATTATTTTATAGATAATTCACTGTTTTTGCATGAAAAAAGGCTATAAAAAGGGCTTTATCCTAATACGCTTACATAACATATACTTTTCCTTTATACGCAAGGATCCCCTTCTCACAACATCGAAAATATTTTATTTTTTCTTCATTAAAAACTACTTCCACACTGATAATGAACCCTGTGTCCAAAGGTTTCGCTAGTATTAAAAATTACGGACACAACGTTCACCCAGACCACAAACATTAATTTTGTAATAGAATATTCTTATTTAATTGTAACACCCAGTAAACGTTACAAGACCCTTATTATACTTCCCACGCGATCGTTGTCCCAATTATAAATATACATGATCTCTTGAAATTATTATTAGCAAGTTCTTGATTTTACTTTATTAGACTCTCTTGGGATAGACCAGTATTAAACTAACCAACTCAGATTGGGCTGTAGGCGTAAGGATGGCTAAAAAAATTGACTACTCATAATTAAAGCTTTAGTTCCGATCACGGTTCTTGTTTCAATCCTTCAACTTTTGCTGCACCTACCATAAACTCTCATCACATCCTAGGTTGACTGGTAGAGAAAGACTGGAAGTCCGCCCTTTGTTACCTTGTTAAGATTAAATAAATACTCGTTCGGCAATGTGATTAAAATGCAATATTTGTTTTAGATAGCCCGTGTATAAGGTATCACAGAGAAAATGGCTGCAGGCGACGTCACACGTCGCGCGTCTATCACGGCGCCGTCGATGCATCGTAGACCATCCGCTAGACGCGGTTCTCTTATCAAAAATCCTCAAACACAATCGCAGGTAAGGCAAACAAAGGAATAAAAGAATTTGATAGATTAGTCATCTTATAAGTGAGCAACTAACAGAGCCCATTTAAAATCACGGTATCTTAATTTTTCTTAAAAAATCTATAATTAGCTACTTAACGAAAGTGGATTTAGGTACACTTAAATAGCACCCATACAACATTAAATATAGTGCACATTTTTTTATAATTGATTATTTTTTTTAAAATTGATAATACATTATTATAATTGAAGGGAATAATACTGTGGCTCTCATTAACAAGACGTGACACATCACGTTTTTTTATAAGGGGAAAGTGTAAATAGTAAGAGTATATTGACAGATAAGTTGAAAAATATGCTCTTTGGTGATTTATACATGCGGAAAGCATGAAAAAAGAACTAACGAAAATAATTTAAATCGCGAAAGTGGGTGCAAAATTCGGTAAAGAATGCCCGGTCATGAAAGACTATAGTTGCAAAGTGAAAAAAAAAAAAAAGCAATTATAACATTTGAAATAAAATTTAAATGAGATAAGCGTTAAAAATGCAACAGAAAATACGAAACAAATTCCCCAGCTAACTGTTGAAAACATTGACTTGAAACAGTTGTATTCAATTGTTAACTCAATTAACGATGAAGAAGTCTTGTTAAATCTCACACGCTGAAATTGAGTTGTAATAATCTAATACACTGATTATTCTGTGTAAAATATAAGACGGGAAACTGATGTATTTGCTGCGTTGTATATGACCTTTAAATATATCAAAGATGAACTGTTGTTCACAGGAAGTGCCGTGGGATATAATAGACCGATGTGCGCTTCCCATAGTGTTGTGCCATGCACTCGCCGTGGTGTTATCCGCACTGCTGAATGCGATGCATCTTAGCCAAATATCAGTGTTCACCCTTTTTCTCTGGTTCTCCATATCCGTAACCGGATCACTTTGGTTTTACCACAACTTGCAGGTAATTGAATATTTCTTACGGTAATATCGTTTTGTGATGTTTTATGACAACTGCTGTGTATGTGTGTTGTTCACTCTCTACACATGACAAAAATGTATGTGCTTCATACATTACTTCACTTTCATATTCTGAGAGTTCTTATGATGTTTACATTAAACCATTCTTGATTTGACAATTGGTGTTGCCTTTTTATAATGCAACGTATTTTAACAAAAGATTAGTCTAATAATTAGCAAGTTTAATAAACCTTTTACTGGACAAGGTGTAGAAGCGTATTCAAGGTACTAACTACAACTATTTAACTACTAACTAAATACCCTCATTTAATATTACACTTTTCAAACCCAAGTACGTGGGAATAATATTCGGTAAAACGATTTTTTTTTAAATATTGTAATACTACTACAGATAGAGTCATGATTTAATCGTACTTTAAAGTGATTGCTATGAGAATAAAGAATAATGGTAAAGCTAATGAATGTTTACATCTTTTTCGAATCCACATAAAAAGTAATTTTATTTTAACTATTTTTATCTCTGAGAGTTTTATTTTATTTTACTTTGTTATGAACAGGACTAATTATACTACACTGGGTCGCTAAAAACTATGATAGTTCCTAATAAAATAATATCTAAGATTGTTTCGTAAAATTATAGTATGATGTATTATTAATAAATTCAAATTTCAAATTCAAAATATAAAAGAAAAACATACAAGTTTGCATACCATTTCCAAATCAGGTATTGAGTTACTTAATACTTTTGGCAGATCGTTTTAATTCAATTCCACTACAGTTATGTTCACGGTCTTCTACAAAGGCGCGGCCATAACTGGCTGAAATAACCTGCTAATTTGCTAACGCCACGCCATTCAATTTTTCATGTGTAGTCACACAATTTTTAAAATGTTTCTGTAATTTGTTGTACGGTATACACTTTAACGACGAAATTTTCCTACTGTGTACGCTAGTCATTACATAGCTAGTAATTACATAAGTATAGAGACTTGTATGAGGACAAAAACAAAAGAAACATTTATATATTGTCACTCATTATAGCTTCCAGCAATTTGTCTCAGCTTTTCTCAGTATTATCGTAAGGTTGCGGATTGTTTAATGGCACGCGTAGGCGGATAATGCAGCATACCTATTTCACGTCACTAAAACCATCTAATGAAGAGAAAGATGTTCCAGTCTCAGTAAAGGTCATTGCGTCTCTGATTAAACATTCAACTGTCGACCCATTGCAATTGTTGTACTTAAGTAGTAAAGGAGTAGTAAGTCGTAAAGGAAATCTCATTTCAAAGCGTTGTGCCGTGACGGTGGCCAGTAAACAAAAAGACTACAAATACTGATATAAATATGACAAAGAGCCTTTTTGTAGTTAATTTAACTAAAACCAGTTCATTTGATTTTTCAGTTTCTTTTATAAGAACATAAAACATTTTCATGCAGTTAAATATTCAATGAAAAAACTTTCGAACTGTCAAAATTTTTTCAACTTTTGTTTTCAGTTACATTTTTAATCTTCCTCCACAAGGGTAGGTACTTATAGTCTTTTCATCATGATAGTCATATTTCTTGCTTTTAGCGGTCTTGTGACATCGGTCGGAAAACAAATTATTATGCAATAAATTATTATTTAACAATTGTAAAACTTTTAACAATGCACATTAACATTTTTTTACAATGATTAAGGTGCACCGTTGGATCTAGCATTTAATGTGGTATAATATCTTCAGCGGCGTCGAAGCCATAATCACCACGCAGCCCTATTTTCGGTGTTAAATTAAAATAATAAATAATGGAGTTCCAGTAACAGGCATTTTTTTAACCCCTTTCTTTAAGAATCCTTGTCTTCATTTCCTTATTACTCGTAGTTTTTGTAACTATTTGTAAAATGTATGTGAATATGCTAAATACTGAAATCCTCTTAAACCGAAATTGCAAAACAGAACTATGTCCCCACATATTGAATCTTGACTTTAATAAATAGGACTTGAGCTTTATAAGCAATGAACTAGAACTTCCATAGGAAAATATTTCATTATTATTAACCTATAACATTTTTATTACCACGCTGAGATAAGATGCTTCTTTGCCCTTTCGCGTTTTTATAGATATCAGAACATATACATGACTGCTCTGTACTAGAAAAAAAAATATTGTTATTACATTCAAAAAAAATATTCAAGCTATAATTTAACAATGCAAATAAAGTGATAAATATTTAATAAACATTTTATCATCATCATCATCATCATTTTAGCCTATTACTTTATAATGTGAATAAATGGCTAAACGTTTAACATTATTTTTAATTACAAAAAATCATTATTACAGTTACATTTTAATAAACTTGTGCGTATACAAATTTTAACACAAAACATTATCTAGTCTCAAATTAAGCATCGCTTGTACTATGGGAGCTCACAACATTCTTACATTGGATATAACACTATGTTCATCACTCAATATTTTTCCAGCAGTGGAGAGCCAGCTGTACCCGATCATTAGACAATCCAATTTAAATACAAGCATATCATTTACGTGTATTATGTATCTCACACCTGTGCCTAGCGTATCGTACGCTTTGTATATAGAAGAGAGGAGTTTCACAAGCGAAATTGTACTCATCAATCTCCACCGTAACGGTGAATTATTTGTGAAAGTGTAATAGATTCTAATATAAAATAAATCTGTTTGAAGTTAGTCAAGTTATTAAAGGCATGAGGGCAATCTAAACAATATTTAAAATCAATATCGCTGGCAGATGACGATGTTGAAACTAATTCTCTGTTTTTTGATAATGTCTATTAAGTGAATTAAAAGTCCACTTAGGACGCCAGCCCGTCGATTTTAGTTTTATGAACAGAAATTACAAAAACGTCCACTAATTCCTCTAAATGAGCTGCAGTATTTTAATGGCACTGTTCCCAGCCTTACAAGCAATTACCTGGGCGAACGTTTTATTACACGCCACAATTCCCGCCACGTAGCGAACGCCTCATTGATTGGCGCCTTACAGGGAAATTAAAATTAATTTAATTTATTATCTCCGTTGGATGCGTGGGATTAAAGAAATACAAGGTTCTTTTTTTGATAAAGTAATTCCCTCTAGGTGGGTTTTAAATTAATGATGTGCTTTTGTTACTTACATCCGACTACGTCATTGTTTAAAGTCGTAGTAGTTTAATTTTTGCTACGATATATGAATTTACATATTTGTTTGTGTTACTAGAAGTGTACTAATTATAAAAGAACATCGGTACTTTTTTTCTTTCGTTTTAAATTATTTTCGTGCTTGGAAATTATTTCTGTATCGCATGAGGATTAAAATATCCACGTAAGCACCATTTCTTTATTTTATTAATATTAATACTCTTTTCCTTTCAAGTTTTTGATCGTGCTAACTTAACAACGAATTGATAACCTATTTATGGGCACACGCCCACATACAGAAACGATATCTAAACTGAAAACCAGCAGTCCAGTATCAACAAAACTAATTATTTACCAACTGAATAGCACTCCAACATAGTATTGTAAATAAACAGTCAATGTTTAGATACTTCGCATATGAAACCAATGGCAAAGCGAGAGAACACGCATTTATTTATAGTTTCGCAAAACTGATTACAACGTTGTTTATTTGTGTTAAAATATTATCCAAGAACCTATAATAGTTTTTAATTATAGTTAAACTAGGTTTCATTTGATAGATAATATTTTGGCAATTCTAAGCATTGCTTTGTGACACCACAAGCATAAATTATTATATTTGTAAACACTAAACAACAGTAATAGTACATCACCTTTAGGTACTATTTTCTGCGTTAGTGAAAAACTTAGAATATGTTTATAATTTTTAATAATTAATTAAATTAAATAATATAATTCGATGTTTAGAAGAATCATAAACATAACCAAACATAAAAACATAAAAAATTAACCGATAAAGTGAGTTGCACTCGTTTCGACATGGAATCCACACAATTCAACTTTTTTATTTTTTATTAAATAAACCGTTTTAAAGGTCCTAAACGTGCTTTACTCACTTGTTAAACGAAAAAAAACGTGAAAATTGTTTAAACGCTTAAAAATAACATTAAGTTTCAGATCGTTTTGAATTCAGATCTTGGTGAGGCGAGGATATCTTGGCTGTGTGTCTGCTCCAATCAAAATTTTCCACTGGAAGTGAACCAACAGAAACAGTGGGATGTCTCTTTGATGCAGAAACTAAACGAAGTGTAGTTTCAGCATTCAAATAGCGATTTAGAACGTGCCCGTTTTTAAGGGTCTCATCTAAAGAATCGAGTTATTGTCTTCACGCTTTACCGTTAAGTAACTTAATCAAATTACTTGACAGTGAAAGCTGTAAGAATCAGTCTAGAATTTTTGACAAAATTTATGGTCTCCAAAAAGTGTACTTTTTCATGTTTATCTTCATACAACGTCCTTTCTCACTGAATCATGGAGGGACATCGAGGGGTTCATTTAGTTCTTGTTCTCCAATGGCATATTGCGTTTACGATTATTTTTGCGCAGTTCGTCAATAACTTCCGACAAAGAAACGGTTGTGTACCAGTCACTATTTACAGTACAACGTTTTTCTAAAGGAACAGTAGCCACGTGTCGAATTTTATCAAAAAAAGAAGCAATCATCTGCTTAGATGAACTTTTGACGCGGACCGCGGTATCTGCTCATCTTGAAAGGATATGGGATCCTCGATTTTTGCTTTGTTTTGGGATCATAATAATAAAAACATGTTTCGTCACCTTTTACTATGTCTATAATCAAAATTGAGTCGCCCCTTTGTTGAATCTGGTAAGCATGGCATTGCATTAAGTGACGCAGTCGGATCTCACACCCAAATGTTTGCGTATAATTGATTTTTGACTCATGCCTATGTCTAAGGATGCCTGAATCTCATAGTAGATCACATGCCGGTCTGTTTCGACCGTAAGGCGCACAGGACAGATGATTTTGTTGTTCGCAGCGGTAGACGGGCGACCATCGTGAGATTCGTCACTGAGATTGACACGAACGCGCCTGAATCCCGCAGATAAATAAAGTATACAAATAGTCGTCCGGCATGGTGCTTCATCGCTAAAAGCACATTGAAGCCGAGCGAGGCTCTGGTAAACTGTTAAATTACAATTAAAATCGTAGAAAATCATACTACGAACAATTTTCTGAGTTAAATCCATTTTAATTTAGACACGCAATTTTTAAAATGTCTCCACAATGTAAAAATAATTGACAGTCAGGTGAAATAAACTGCATACTACAGCCAAAGAGCTCCATTTTCAATGTTGTAATTCCTTTTTTAATATTTTTATGTTAGTAGCCAGCTCCGGAAATTTTTTTTTACCTATGTAAAGGTTCCATTGAATGTTCGGACCCTATGAAGTTCTAACATTCAATTCTAAATAAAGAAACATATACATAACAAGATTTTCATGTCTTAAATTTTTACTTTATAAGTATAAAAACAGTTTATTATTAATTTTATTAATAGCTTTTGATACATAATTAAAGGATAACCTTTAATAACGTCGATTTCACAATTATTTCGCATCACTGGTAACTTGTGCCAACCTCAGTACATTCAATTGCGTCATCTATTCCTTTCGAAAGTCCAATTTAAAAATAGGTTAATGGTTGTTTTCACAGAATAGACACCACTAAATAAAATTCTTATGTTGTTTTCTTTCAACGTGGAATCTTTTCCATGTAATACTTTCTATCTTAATCGCGTGCAATAAAATTTGAAGCAAAGTATTATTCTGCAAACTATTTACAAAAATTTACCCGAAAATTTAATTTTAAAAGCATTGAACTATCATGTTTATAAATTAATAATTACATCATCGTTAATTTAATTTATTTGTAACTTTTAAAATGAAAACATTCCATTTCGTTGTTCCATGATGAAGTAAAATATTTGTGTTTGATATATACCTATCTGCTTAACTCTCAATTATTCAAATATGTAGATTATTCTCATATAACCTCCACATGAAAAGTACTCTCTACCAGAGAGTACTTTTCATGTGGAGAGCTGAAAGTATAAAGATAAATAAGAAATATGAATATACAATGTTCATCATTTTGACTTGAACAAAGATATGAAAAGGATAGTCACAGATAAATTCAAGTTGAAAATATTTAAAAATAAAAACATTCAGCGATTGTTTATTTAGCTGTGGTAGGACCACAGTGTCCGCTGTTGCACGAATGGGCATATCAGTGTAAAGTAGAAGTGTTACACTTCTGCGTTTCATCTGGTGAGTGAGGTAGCCGGGGCCCACCTTATTAGAAGGTGGCAACACATCTGCAACCAGTGTTGCAAATGTCCGTGGGCGTCTGTTATCACTTAACATCAGGTGAACCGCCAGCTCGTTTGCCACATTTTCACATAAAAAAAAATAGAAGAATAGGAATTTACTCAAAAATAGAGGACTTACTTATTGATTGTGTTAGTTTCGAAACTTTCTAAGTATGCTGAAAAGCATGAAGCAAGTGATGTTTTGAATAAAAATGGATATGAAGAACGGAAAGCTGGAATATAAAATTTTTGATAGCACAATATTAAAAGCTTTGTTATTTATTCTTTGATCTAAATTGCACCGACCCCAAAAAGTTGAAGAAAAATTCTTTTATAATAATACTTGGAACCAGTAATTCTTCCACTTCCGTTAATCACTGCTAAGGCACACAATATTACATTAATTAATTAATTTGAATTAGAATGATAGTGTTTAAAATCAAAGTCAAAGTTAAAGTATATTTATCCAATATAGGCCTAACTTAAGCTCTTATTGAACGTCAACAAAAAATCTACCACCGGTTCACTAAACTAGACCTGCACAGAGAAGAACCGGCAAGAAACTCTGCGGTCTTGTTCTTTTTGTTATATGCTGGGGCGTTTTCAGTTTACATATAAATACTTTAGCCATCCTGAAATATTTAAGCTCGAACGTTAATGCGTCATATATTCGTGAAGTATGACCGACGAAAGCCAGAATAAAATATTCATTCGACAGTTATAACAGTCGACGTCAATCAAACTGTCACCGTCTATTTTCAACAAAAACTTAATTTGGTTGCCTGCCTATAACAAGCATCTGATAATAATGCTCATTTGTTGGACACCGCTTAATAAATCAAAGCAAACTCAGATACAAACTGTACATTTTACGCTAATCGTTTTATTATTATTTTTTAACATGTAAAATTATATTTCTTGTAAATAAATATGTAATATTTCTCGTGGTCCCACCTAACACAATTAATTATTTTTTTTATTATATCCTGTTCTTTATTTTTTATTTATTACAATTAGACTTCCTTATAAATTTTTCAATATGGTAACTTGGTAATAATTTCGTGTATTAACGCGATTATACATTACTAAATGAAACTATGTTTATGGATTTATCGCGTTTATTTTTCGCCGTGAAACGTCGGGAATTATAACCAATAATATCGTGATAAAGGACATAATTGGTTTTGGTATATTTTTTCTTCCGTATTTCGCTTTAAATTGACTGTGCACATTTATGATTGTCTAATTTAATATATACGCTATCAATCGAACGGTCATAATGATGAAGGAAATAAAATAAACATAATTATGAAACATTTAACTTTTCATGCGCATTCAATAAGGAAGGGTATTTAAAAGTAACTATGTTATTAACAGGTAACAGCAGCGGGAAAAGCTGTGTTGGTAACAGGATGCGACAACGTGCTTGGGAATGCACTGGCCCGTCGCCTTGACGATCTGGGCTATCACGTGTTCGCTGGTTTCCAGAATAAAGCGGGTAACATAGATGCGGACATGCTCAAAGAGGACTGCTCCGGTCGGCTACATACATTGCAACTTGACATTACATCCGAAACACAGGTAACTTTTGTCACACACCAACACTTGCACTTACTTTGCATAAGCAACATGTTATTTGTCATAGAATAAATGAAGAAACACATAAAATGTTTTACAAAATTTCGAGAAATATCACAAAGTTTAAGTTGTTTTCTTTAATGTGAGAAGGTGGCAAAAGAGTTGGTGTTTTTTTTTTATGTAAAAAGGTTTTCAAGCGAGCAGACGGTTCACACGATGTTAAGTGAATATCGCCGCTCATGGACATCTCCTGAACCCTAGGGTTCCAGATGCGTTGACAACCTTTTGAAAATTTCGCTCCGGCCACCTTTCTTACCAGACGAAACGCGAAAGTATTATACTTCCACTTTACGTCGGTTTTCTGTGAGGTCGTGGTACTTACCCGGATGAATCTGCCCATTCGTGCAACAAACTGCTGCGTGGGCCTACCACCGTAAAAACCTGGTGTTAAATGATAACCGCCGCCCTTAAATAACTACGACACCCGTACGGTAGCAGATTCGCTGCCACCTTTTAATAAAGTGGGCCCCGATTACCTCGCTCACTAGACGGAATCACGGAACGAAGAAGCGTCTTCCACTTCACGCCGGCCATCTGCGAGGCCGTGGTATTTCCCCAGAGGAGCTTGCCCATGCATGCAACAGCACAAACTGTTACGCAGCCCTACAGCATTAAGACATTTTACGATTTGCAAAAGTAGCCTTAGGCCTGGTTACACGGACGACACATCCATACTATATATATATATACTATATAATATTATAAATGCGAAAGTAATTCTGTCTGTCTGTCTCGCTTTCACGCCAAAACTAAAGAACCGCTTTAAATGAAATTTGGTACATAGATAGTCTAGATCCTGATAAAGGACATAGGTTATTTTTAAATTGGAAAAAGGTGTTGTTTGAAGTGAAAATTCTTAATATTTATTTAAGGCTTCAACACGAGCGAAGCCGCGGGCGAAAAGCTAGTTATAAATAAACTGACGATAGCGGTAGTAAAGATTGTAATATAAAACCTAGAATACATGTGAAATTGTAATTGGCGTAAATTAATATTTGGCCCCTACTATCAGGGCCGTTAGGATTCTCTAGGTGTCGTTAAGCCGCCATCCGAGAACGATAAATTTCACTATAACGGGAGTTACACTAACATATTATATTCCCGTGTCGGTTGTTCGTATCAAGACAGTATCTCCAATTACCCATAAAATACTGATTGTTTAAACGAGCATTTTTCATAATACATCATTGAATTTCGTTTGAAATTTAGGTCGCGTCGTAACAAAGCTCTTTGCATATCATTCTCCAAACACAACTTTAAGAAAGTATTAACACAACAAACTCAAAATAAACTTGTTAAAAGTATATTCAAGCAGGTAGTCTGTTTTAAGTATTTTGTTGATGTCGGAAATAATATCTAATACTATCAAATTCCAAGAACCATCAAAGAACGACAAACCATGAAACTTTTACGTCTATCACCTTCTCTGCCCATTAACCGATCGTGAACGAATTACATTTAATGTAAATTTATCTTGATTAATCGAAATCATTCGCACAACAGCAGAAATTTTATGGGGAAAAAAACTAAAAATATTGAATTAAAAAATTTGTGCGATCTACAGAAAATTATTCTTCATCTGAGTAGTTTCCCTTTTAAGGATAAAAATTGATGTATAATAATACTTTATACTCCTTTACAACATTGGATACGCTTACCACATATAGGGAGTAATATTTTAATGAATTTACTGTACGTTTTTATTTCAGCAATAGATCCTTGATCCTTGTCGAGATAATTTAAAATAAGTTGTTAAATCACCAAAATCGTTAAACTCTCTTAAATTTCAAACTAATTAAAGTTACTTTTAAAAGATAAAGATAAAAGTGCTTCATAAAAAAAATAACACTAACCCTCACAGGTTTTTTAAACTCCTAATCAATCTCATTACTTTGAAAGAATTACAGGGACAAAATTAGGCACAAGTAATCAATAAAACAAAAATGACAAACATTATTATTGAGTTTAAAAAATTAACAATAGCAAAAAGGCGTGTAGAATCGCTTCGATTTGCAATATACTTTTGTATAATTCACTTTTCTTATCCCTAACATTTCTTCAATTTATCTTTACACAAGATAAGTAAGTTATCTTATTTGATCATCTTTTTAATGCAAAATATTATTTCCATATGCTATATACTTCATATTTTCTTTGAAAACGAATTAAACGTGGTAACTTCGCAAATACAGTTGACCTACGTTTTTTTTTTTTTTTTTTTTCATATATTGAATCAGATCAATTTTAATTCGACCAGCTAACTAATTCTTTTTTGTCTGTCACATGGTTTTATGGAGGTACAAGCGTGTAATAATCAAATAAAATAAAATCAAACGCCAGTGCTCTTATGTTCATGAGTTTATTTCATCAAACAATTATATTCCTAAAATTCGTTGTTTCTGAGAAATACATAAATTTGTTTCAGCGCCATCGCTATTTTAATATCATATGTTTTCTCTTCAGATTCTGTCGGCGTCTTTGTATATCGTCGACCATTTACCAGAGGGCGCGCAAGGCTTGTGGGCCATCGTCAACTGCGAATCATGGTGTGCACTCGGCGAACTAGAGTGGGTGCCTTTCTCGGTCATCCGCAGAGCAATGGAAGTAAACCTATTAGGTAAACCATCTCGTAGCGCTACGGGTGCTACGCTTGACTACGCAGCCCGTATCACTTCCAATCATTTCACTAGTAAAAACATAGATGGCGTTATTTTAGGAACAACAAGGTTAATTTAGAGGAGTTCGTGTCAATCCGGTTCCTGAAAAAATATTTTTGTTACTCATGTTATTTTATAATTTTCCCACTGTTAGTGAGTTACAAAATAAGCTAATATGAACAATCATATTATGTTATTTTGTAGTAGTAGATTACAAAATCTACTAATACTCATAATAAATTGATTTAAATGGTTAAACGGTGTGTAAAAGGAATAAAATCGTGTTTTCACCACGTATGTACAACGATTGTACTTGTATCATTCACCGTATAGCAAGGTATCGATGCTTTATATGAGCGATATAATGTGCTTATAGTGTTATAATTTATATCAAACTTGTTTATTACATTGTTTACTGTGCAATAAACTTATAACATTCAGCGGAGAAAATAAATCTTTCAGTCGGAACGTTGCTGAAAACGCTAACACTTCGATATTTTACAGATGAGAAAACTTTCAAATAAATCTAAGAATTCCTACACGCATTTATTTCGGCCAAAACCACACTCGTGAATTACACTATTATTTATTTCCATTAAATAGTTTTGCAGAGCAGCGAATTTTAGAGTAAATATTTGTTGTAATTGTAAGACAGATTTATGGTCAAAGCTCATCATTATATATTTCTGAAGATATGATTTATGTAATAGTAAACAAAAAGAAAACTATACGCATATGCTTAAATCTTTCATTACTTTACACTAAACGTTTAAAACGATAAACTACAAAATTTGTTACCGTCCGTAACCGCATCTAGTGGAGAATATTCAATTCCTAACCTAGCCCGTAGTTAGTTTTTAAGTTTGACATTAAATTGATAAGTGATGAGGGTCGATGTATATGTGCATAAATGGTTTAATAGAAATGAACATAGCGTGCTATGAAATAATTCCCGTGTCACGCACAGTACACTAACAACATTCGATTACATACACAAAACACTTACGCCAACAAGATTTTTTTTTAAAATAAAAACGTAAAACATACGATTCACTTTTTAATTATAAATCTTTGCCTAACTCTCTATGTGCTTGACGTGAGAATTAATCTCTTTGTTAAAGTAAAAGTTAAGCAAAAGTCAACTTGTGAGTCGAGCAACATTCCTCGATGGGGTCGATGATTTATATATAAAAAGTGAATCGTATGTTTTACCTTTTTATTTTAAAAATCTTGTTACCAATCTCAACGCAAACAAATACGTAATCTTTTACGGTTGAAACATTAGAAAAAGAGTTCACTTCTAAAACATTTTGCGTTTGTTTTGAAAGCTAAGAGAAGAATAATGTCTGTTATATTTTAGTATGTAAAAATATTTGTAACGGCTGAGTGCTGTGATTCGACATAATCAGGTTTTACTTCTTTCGCTGATTCGTTGAACCGCGAAAATCGATACGAGATTAAAGATTACTTTTTGCGAGAGCTGATTTCGTTGAGTATTTTTCATAGATGAGACCTTCATAATGACGTAAAACTTTTACTATGTTTATTTCTTTTTTTTTATATCTTAATTCTTATATCTTGCAAGTTTAAACCGACTGGGGCTTTTGTACTAGGAAAATTGCCGGGAGGTGATTGCCTTTGTTTGAATATTTTTCCTTTGATAGGACCGGCCCGTTTAGTGCAAGTGATGTTGCCATTGGTGCGACGTTCCCGAGGGCGTGTTGTCCTGGCCTCGTCCATCCTTACCCACGTGGCCGCCCCTGTTCGTGGGGTGCACGCCGCGTCCCTTGCTGCACTCGACGCATTAGCCGCTTGCCTCCGACGTGAACTTAAGCCCCGAGGTGTCGACGTGGTAAGTCAGTAAGGACACGTTTAAATGACACAAGATATCTTAATAAAAAAAATGAATGTTGGTAAGCGCATAGCTTGAAATGACTGGACCAATTCGGCTAACTTGTTTTTGTATGTTCCTTAAGGTTTATGTTACGGGAGGACCTTAAGGTTCACGGAAGGATTTATATACTATAAAAAAAAAGAAAGTTCTTATAATTCTTACTTAATTACTTCCTTTGTTCAATATCTATAGTAAAACTTTATAGAAATTCTGTAACTCTACATAAATCGAAGTGGCAATATTATACAATATCCGAGTGAAAAATCAAATTACCGAAAGATTATTTATTCTATATCGTCTAATTTTCAAACATCATCAAATGTTACGGAGCTCTCATACGCTTCAAAATAGTTGTGTTCGCATTAATACACGTTATCATTATTCTTATATTACATTCGTTTACAACAAAGAAGTCTTATTTGAGCCATCAAACTTTGCACCGATGATCAGGTCGTAGTTGCTGCCGGTGAATACACGACGGGAAGCGCGTGGCTCTCGGAAGAAAAGCTCCTGGAACAGGCGCGGGACATGTGGAAAAGGCTGAGTGATGAGCAAAAGGGGGCGTACGGTGAAGACTATTTTGAGCAGGCGCTACGTAGCCTCGAAAAATACACCAAGAGCCCGGTAAGTACCGAATGCGCAGTACCGTCACTGTTTCTGTCATTTTTTTAGTATATATTTCCGCTTTAGCATTCATGTCACAAGCAAAATTGCTCTCGCAACCATGACGGCACCAATAACGATAGTGAACTACGCGAAAATAAATTATCAATCTGTAAATAACACATAAAATTTTTTGTATTTAAAGAATTTAAACTATTGCCGTGATTAATACATTATACATCTTAAACTCTAAAAGCCTCATCACTTGACTTATGTGCGATTTAATCGGTTAGTAATAGAATCCGGAAAATTCGGATAAGTGAGAGGTATACTGTCTACTTGAACATATCATACGGCACCTTCTACGGTTCCGTGAGTAACCAACTCCACAAGGGAAATAGCATAGGCCCATAGCAGAATGCCGTATTAATTTTCATCTAGTGAGTGAAGCACCTCGTTCCGGGTTGACTTGCAGAATAAAACTAAGCAATACTTATACTAAAAAATTGTTAAGGATTCCTTAGAGCTGTATTTTATTTCATATACATTTCCACGACCATTTTTAAGGCATTTAATTTTATATCTTTTATTTTATAAACATTCATCATTCAACTTGATGTAATTCTGATGTCGCGTTAAATAAATTTTGAACGAAATATATTAATAATTTTTCTGTTCTCATTTTAGGGTGTATAATTTTATTATTTTTTTTTTTATTAATAGGACGCAGACCTAACAGCAGTGACCCGCGCTTTGAGTGATGGCGTGACTCGCACATTCCCCCTGGCGCGTTACACCCCCGTATCGCCACGCGAGAAGATAAAGTCTTTGTTGGCAGAACATCTTCCTCGTTCCCTCTACGAAGGACTCTATTCAGATTAGGCTAGTGAATAAAGTTTGTACAAAACAAACCGCAAAGAAACTTCGCCTGTTTATAAACTATTTCGTAATGAGATAACTTTATCTGTCTTGTTTCTCATTGCCACCATATTTTTTTCTAAAATCAGAACTGCACTGAAATCGGCTTTTGTTGAATCGGGAAACTCTTATCAGTTTCTTTATAAAGTCACATTTATATATTAGAAATTAATGAAATAAATAGGTTTTAGTTTACATGCAAGTTTTTTTCAATTACGAGTACTTCTTTGTATTTATTCACTTGTTGTATTGAAGAGACCTAAGTTATAACATAAAGTTATCTCAATGACCATTGCTTAATGCTTATAGCAATGAGTTGCATCGTATGTGAGATAAATGTGAAAAAACACATTTTAAACTGTTTTAAATCAAAAGGCAAGAACAGAATTAGTGAATAATTTTACTCGTATAGTATTTTATAGTGCCAACATAGGGACCGGGGAACAGCTGTTAGCACATACACGTGACTGATTGAAGGCAATATAGCTATGAAGATTGACCTAGTTGTAACGTAAAGCTATTTGAACTTTACAAAAATTCACATGTTATATGCCTTTTTTCTTACCTTTAATCATTAATGTAATTATGTATTATTTTAATATGATAAATTTTTGCTGATTATTCAATAACTAAACATGCGAATTATATACGTATTACATTATCTATTTCTTATTTTGAAGTCATAAGTACTTCCTTTGGCGCGTTTGGAAAAATTAAGAGAATAAAACTTTTACAATGGGCGTGCACACCAACCCTCAAAAATCGACAACCACTAACAACGTTTTGATATTTACCAATAATTCCAAGTAATTTAATTAAACCTTTATCAATTGCATTTAATGTCTTGACGCTAAAGAACAATAACTTCTTAAGTGTGTATTTAAGTACACACATACTTTATTTACTTTATTTCTTACCTCTTGGCGTTAAAAAATCTCTTACAAGCCTGACTGTTGTGACTATAAGTTTACACACGAAACCAAGCGCATGTTTTACTTTATTCCAAAAAAACCTGATGGCTTTTTGATCTGAATGATTTTTAATTCAATATGTGTACTACTCGTAATCTAACTTTTTTGAAGTCATGCTTCTTATGGCGCGTTTGGAAAAAAATATGAGAGTAAAGATTTTACGATATGCGCGCACACCGACACCGACAGTGATTGAGTTGGTTGCAAAGCGAACAACGTCACGGTATTACTAAGGTATTACAATAACAAGTTTTTGACATTTAATAATTTATTTAATTAAACCATTATCAGTTGCATTTAATATCATTTTCACAAACAAAGAGTACTGGCACATAGGTTAGCCAGAGCTAGTCTCGGTATACAAAAAACTCATAATCTCCAGCAAAGTCCAATGCCGCGGTCGATTGGAGGGTAAGGCCAAATTGACCTCAAAGAAGTTTGGTCTGTTCAGCAGTCGAGACAGTGCTTCACGTCGGTATATCGCATTAACCTCTAAAAGGCACAAATTCGGCCCCACATGGAGTAATGTTCTACTCTCTGAGCGGGAGCTTTTTCCATTTGACCAAACAACGTACGGCGGTTAGGATTATCGACGATCAGTCTTTCCGATCGGCTTGATCCTTTGACTCTGCGTAAAGATGTTGGATCGCTCTGCATCTTCTACCGCATTTATCACGGCGTGTTCCGAGGAATTGTTTGATCCCCGCGGCTGAATTTCACCATCGGACATCGCGCCGAAACCAGAAATTTCTTCCTAACCACCTCGGTGTCCAGCGTTCCACAACAGCGCGATTTTCAAAGCATTTCCTACCTCGCACAACCGCTCTGTGGAACCAGCTGCCGCCGGCGGTCTTTCCAAACCGTTACGACCTGGAAACCTTCAAGAAGAGAGCATACACTTTCTTAAAAGGCCAGCAACGCATTTGTGAGCTCTCGCGTGGTGGTGTTCATGGTATTGACTTCCAACAGGTGAGCCTTCTGCTCGTTTGCCCCTTTTCTCCATAAAAAAGGTCATCATTTTTGATTACCTTTATTATATTTTGTTTATGCTAAATAAGTATAATTTCTTACGTTTGTACACATGTGCAAACATGTTTTTTTTTAATTGAAGAATTTAAACATCTCAATTAATAATATGTTTTTGATTAAGTTAATTTCGTTTTTATTTCAATTAGGGTATTTTTTACCAGCAACTTGTATTTTGTTAATAAAAACCGCGTTTATAAAGTTGTTTTATAACTTATTTGTTTACGACAATCTAGTCACTAGTCAAAAGCTTAAACTATTGGTAATTGTTTCTAGTTATCATATCATATTTAAAGAAAATTAAAATAAGATTTTTGTTGTTTCATACTTAACGTTTTTAGTAGCTATTACTAATGTTGTGTGAATATGTTTTAGGTATATTTTTTAAGTTCGTATGAAAAGTGTGAACTACACATTTACGAAAATATGTATGCAATATGTATGAAATATGTCCTAATCTTTGCATTTTACATCAAATCCCGAGAAAGTAAATTAATTTTATTTAAACTTCATGACTTAATAAAACGGCTAGTTGCTACATCATTATAAAATTATATAAAAATATATAAAATATGTGTGCATTTAAATTAAATGTCGTGCGTTGCTATATATTCATGTGTGAGCATTGTGTCGAGTTATGTAGTAAGTAGCTAATAAAAATAAAGAGGACTCTTAGTTTCATTTTTCGATTGACATGTACCTATTTTTCTTTATACCTTTTACTATTTATTTTCAGTGTTCGCAGTGAAGTGCCTGTAACCAATTCTTAAAATTTTACTGAAAGTTATTTCTCTGTCTGTTAGAATTTAGAAAATAATAAATTTAATTCAGTAGTCAACAGATGTTAGTCATTAAAATTGAGTTTACTAAATCAATTATAAATGCATAAGTCTGCATAATGTTACAAAAATAAATGTTGTTTCAAAAATAAATACTATTCATATAAATGACACTCGTATAACTATGTGTTATAATGTTTACTTAGAACTCGGTTTACTCAACCGTTTATATCAACGATATGTCGTAATTCAATACAATGAGTGAATTCTATTACCTTAAAATTAGACTAAATAAACAGCTTTTATAGTAAAATGAGGCTAACGAGGTACCCGGAACTAACAAGATCTTCAAGAGCATTTAACCCCTATTTCTGATCCTATATGTTGCCTCAACATCAACTCGCGCCTGTAATTATCATTTTATAATTATAGGATCTCTTTAAAATAATTAAAAAAACAATGTTCATAAATTCCCAAAACTGACGAAACTCTTTCACTACAACAGAAGTAAAAGTCTAATTTAAAAACTAAAAATCTAAGTAAATCTACTGAAATAGTATTTTGATCAATGTAACTAAATATATTATGTTTTTCTTCAATTAGTTATTACCTATATATAGATAACAGATTTTATTATTGAGTAACAAAATGAAATAACACAAAATTTCAATTTAATTACGTAGCAGTAGGAACTTTTACGTTAAAGAAGGAGGGGTAAAATAAATACAACTAATTGATTTCATTTAAATTCAAAAAGTGTTAATGTTTGCAAGTAACTGATTTGAATAAAAATATATTATTTAAGTAACATAAAGCCAAAGTACAATTCATGAAATCAATTATCAATCTCGCTCTCAACAACAATCTCGGTCTACCCTGATCAAAGGCTAGAGCCGGCACTGCAAGCGTAACTCTAACCAAGGTAGAGCAAGAGGAGCGTTTGCCCTACGCGCCTCCCAAGGGACGCTAAATCAAAAACAAAAAACCATTTCCCATAAAATAAAATTTTAATGCGCCTTTTCAAAGACAGATTTTATTATATAGTGACTGATTGGAAATAACAGCAAATACCCATTCACCTAAGCTGTGGCAAATCGGCCGCGAACTGCTAAAATATTATCAGCAACAGCGGCCGTTCAAGCAGTTTCGCTTCGTGCGGCAGTTGCGTTATTGGTCGGTAGCTAAGCGTAAGCATCGGCCCTTGCCCGGTTTCGGCAGGACGATGATCTTGCCGGTTTCCATTGGAAACTGTACCGTACGGAGTACAGCCGACACAGAGACACTAACCCCATCCTCGGCTGATGTGTTGGCTATGAATAGCCCTTCAAGGTGTCTTCTTGTGCTGGAACGAGCTTATGGCCGTCACTGCTCACAAGTGGACAGATTGGTGTGGTGTTCGGCTAAGCTGCTGGTTAAGGTGGTGAAGGGAAGTGTTAAATTCTAAGGCCTGCTCGACCCTCATCCTTGTAAGCCATGATGGCTTACGGCTCATATTTGAGCCGATTTAGAACTGTCTTCACAATTTGCCCAAAGCTTCTATTTTAATGTAATCGATCGACGGGCCTACACGGGAGCGTGCGTTCGATGCATTTCGGGCACCGCCTAGGTCGACGCGCGCAATTCTTCCTGTATCTTAGAAGTGATTTTGCGCGGCCCCATCCTCCGGACGTCCTCCGCAGTTGAAATGGGTGTGTCGAAACTAAAAGTGGACATTGCTCTTGTAAAAGCCCTCCTAATGGTCCTTAATTTAGGGCCTCTGGGAGCTAGTGAGACCGCAGCCAGACTCAACACGATGATCACATGAAGGCCTGAAAAGTGTTGATGTTTGCGATAAATTGATTTGAAAAATTGGTTATTATTTAGAAATAAAGAAAAATCAAAACAATAAAACGACTACACATACATAAATAAAAACACTTGTTTAGATTTTTGTACAATACATAATCTATAATCCATGTGTATGAAAATATATTATATAAAATTATCATATATCATCAGCGTGTCGTTACCATCGCGACAATAAATGAACACACGTCTAACGCTACTTGCCAATAATCATAAAAAAATATTAACGTTAAACAAAATCCATAATTAAAAAAAATATTTTTCAAAAAAACTAATTAAGTAAAAAAGCAACAAAATTTGTAACATCCTATACAACTCGCGTCATAGAGTCGCATTACAA